GAGGAGAGTTAAAAATGATGAGGTGTCGTTGAACGTTGAAGCGGTCAAGCTGAGCTGTCCCTTTGCGGGTAGGTTTAGACAGGGAGCAACACAGGAGGGGTCTAGCTCAGGGGACCTAGTGAGGGGCTCAAGACGGTGAAGGAGGGGCAGCCGTACAGTGTATATAGATAAGATAAAGCTGGTGCATACAGCTGAAACAGAAGATATCGACCCAAGCAGCATTCTAAGACACTTGTCAAGACTATAGCGGGCTGAAGATCTTAATGGGGCTCATGCAGAGGCCTCAGAGGGTCATTCATCACCCAAATAGGACGGTATTGATAGGACCTGCATCGAAGGGTCAAGTGGAAATACTCACACTCCGCACTGTGTTTCGGGGCTCGATTTAGTTGTTCCGTCGAGACCGCCCCAAACCCCACAGTCTCCCACGTTGATCAGGGTGGAGGACATAGACGAGAGGCTCAATCTATAGTACGACGTGGTAAGACTCTCAGTCAAGACTGGAAAATAAATGGTTCTATGAAGAGTGATACGTGAAACCGAAATGCGCTACAAGTGTAAAGATCTGCTCTGAAATGAAATGTCGTTAAATCACCAAGCCTGCTAAGCACTATCTTTAGGTACCTTAGGTAGTAGGTATGTGTTGTGTTAGCTGACGACGCTCAAGGTGGGCCCATATCATGATACCTACCTACCTTAGACAAGGCAAGGGTATCATAAACAAAATAACAGTAATTCAAATCACACATATGTTATCATTAGACTATCAACGCCAATACATTATACCATAAATCATCCGATTACGTGTAAATAGACTCAGTCACAGAATTGACCTGCAATCCCCATTCCGCCATCTCAGCATCTTCGAGGAAGCGCAAGGGGAACCAAACCAAATGGCCCTTGATTTGCGACAGCTTCTCTCTGGCGTCTTCGGGAGGCATGAACTGGTCAAAGATATGGCCAGCTTTGACACCGCGTGGAGGAAGATATCGATCATAATCGTCGAAAGTCCTGATATGGTCATCTGGATCGGCGTGGAATAAGTGGCGGAATAGCTCGGTGTTCTTGTCTGCCTGGCTTGTCCACTTCTCCCAGAGTTCGTCGCTGAGAGGATCTTCAACAAACTTGTAGCTCTCGTCTTGGTCGTAGATATCGTTGTTGGGGTTGACGGTCGGAGGCATGGCGTTGATGTCTTGCGAAGCATCATGGGGTTGAGGGGGCAAGAGACCCATGTGCTCACGCCAAAGGTATCGACGGAGGGTTGCTGCGTGATAACCCGCTTCGAAGGGCTTTCCATCCATAGTACTAGGGATGAGGCGCGTGTCCTCCATGACAACACTAAGCTCACTGTCGTGGTCGCCCAGTTGACTTCGATCGTTAAGGTTACTGCTTCCGCAGATGGCAATTCTGTCATCGACCAGCAGCAACTTGCCGTGGATGTAAAGCTCCTCCTGAATCCAGTTCTTGATCTCTGACTCAGGATCCTCCTCAAACCAAGACTCGCCCTTTAGGCCTTCGCCAGTACCAGCCATAGCATGGTGTGCAACAGAGGAAGTTGTGTGAACTTCCTCCTTGGGCATGGCAGCTTCAAACTTCTTTCGTGCCTCCATGGTTTTCTTGATATCCTCATCAAGCTCCTTCTGCTTTTTATCGCCACGCATGTGTTCGTCGCCCTCACTATCCTCGGGGTCAAATGAGCCGTGAATACCTTCGCCCATGATCTCCTCAGCTTCTGCACGCTGCACCTGTTGGTAGCTGATACCGGTCTCCTTCTCAGCTTTGATGATAGCAGGAGTTTTATTAAGACGATCATAAGATCGCAAGTTGAAGAAGAAAATGTACTTCTCCGGGTCTACGCCCTCAGCGCGACATTGTCCGAAGATAGAATGCTCACCCCGACAAATAGACTTGTACTGGTAATCCATAATAGCTCGCGTGCCCGTAGCAGCTTGCTCTCTGAGATCTCCAGCAAATCCAGGAATGGCAGGAATAAGAACGATGACGCGGAATTTGCGGCCCTCTTTTGCAGCCCTTACAACGGCATCGACAATCGCACGGCCAATAGTATTCTTAATCGGAGCCTGTTGGTCGCCTGTTGCAGTGATAAAGAACTGGTTCTCGATGTAAACGTAGTGCTGAGCCTTGGAGATGATCTCAATATACGCGTTCTGAATGGAGTGGTCGGTCAGAATACCGCTACTCCAATCGGCGCTTGATCGGACGAGCTGGCAGTTGACTGTGCCTCTGTTTTCAAGGTTTTTAGTACTTAGAGGAGTGTAAGGATGCTTAACGTATTCTCCAACGGGGTGTTTCGGGCGTTGTACGCCAATAAGGTCCTCATCTTCATTCTCCCTGTTCTCCAACACCAACCAGTCGAATCTCTCGTCTCTCTTATATTTATCACGTTTGACGAAATTCCATCGAAGAATGAAGTTCTCTCCTACATCATACACCGTTGGGCCTATTTTTAAGTTAGAAAGCTTAGAAATTGATTGAATTTTGGTGTTTTGAAGTTTGGTGTTTTGAAGTGAGGCGTCTGATGCCAACCCACCTTGAATACACATCGCGACATCGTGCCACGGCATACGACCGTAGTCTGCTTTGCTTAACTCGTTATCTTGCCAGGAAGACACATTCTGGAAATCCATGACTCTGTTGTTATTGAAGTCTTGTCCTGGCCAAATTTCATCCTGAACGTTGGTGGGATGAATATCCGACAGAGGGTGCTGGTGGTTATCCCATCGTCCGAAGCATAGATCTAGGCCTCCGACGAATGCTATTTCGTAGTCGATGACAATGAACTTCTCGTGATGAGCCCAATACCATGTCATATCGCTGTCGAGTCGTCAGTGGATGACTTGGTGGTTGCATGTGGATGGTCGCCAACTCCCGCGCCCTCTGCAAATGCACTCACCCAAAGTTTTCAAAGACATTGTGATCGGGATGACGACCGACATGGATATTTCCATGACCAGGAGAGCCCTTGGGGCAAAGTCTGTTAAAGTTAGCTTATGATGGGCATCAGTCAATTGCTCAACCCACCTCCTCAGCGCATGCTTGGTATGAGCTGAGTTGCAAGTCAAGGCCTGCTCAACTTCCTTATAGACACAAACATAAATCTGGACACCTTCCTCCGCCTTTCTCTTGAGCAATTTGTCCAGCCTGTATTCTTGCGCGGCGTACGGAGGTCGACGGAGGAAAAGCTCTGGTGACAGCCACCAGTCGGCGATATAGATGGATTCTTTGGCTTGCTCGAGAGCAATGGACACAGCCCAAAAGTAATCTCGGCCATCTACATACCACTTGACGTGGTTGCCAGCGCGCATTGGGAAGTAAGATTTGAAGCGGTTCTGCTCGGCAATGGAAGTTCGCTTGTCATCACAACGCTGCTCATGTTCTTCATCGTGTCTGTGATTTTTGTTGAACTACGCGTATGTAAGTCACTGTTTCTCGTCTGTGTCTGTCTTTGTCTCATATCACGGTGCTGATGTGATGCAATGCAATGCGGCACCACTAATGGAATAGGGCGCGTCATACCAGATTTGCCAATTTACCAATCTTGTGCCTAAAGACTCAAAATCAGTGACGAGTTGTTGCAATTGAGTACGAGTCACAAACTTTTGGTGGACGAGATGAACTTTTGCATCGTGTAAGCCATCGCTTAACTTGAGCTTGTCCAACATGGAACTCATTGAGCCAGAGCTCTCATGCTTCTTGTGATCCGCCATGATGGATGGCGCGAGTCACGGCAAATTCACAGGGGTCGTCGAATGAGAGAGCAAAGCGCTCAGGTCACCTCAGGGTCTCTGCAGGAGATTATCGATCGATCGAGAGGGGAAGAGAATGAGGGGTGGGATGAGGGGAAGCAAGCAAATTGGAGGGGCAGTCGGAAAGACGAGAAGAGATGGAGAGGAAGAGGAAATGGAAGAAGCAGAATTACGAGGGTGACAATGCTTTTGGTAGTTTCTCAATGGTAATAGTAATGGCTTGCTTGTCATGGTCTTGGCTAAACTGGGCACGCGACAAAGCATCTGGCTTGCATGGCCTGGTCAAGCCTTGATCCTGCAGTTGGTGAGACGAGAGATCTTTTTGCAACTGGCGATGTCATCGACCAAGCAGAACCTTCACATTCAAAGACAGGAAAGCAGTGCCAAGCCGGCGAACACGGCGCGCAAATCTCTTGGGGGTTTCTAACAATAGGTCCAGCTCGACTAGGACTGTCACAGGCCGAGGCCAAGATCGTGGCATCCGTCATGACCCGCACATACACGTAATACTACACACAGGGCTGAAAGCAGATGCACCAATTGACCTGTGCCGTTTCACTGTGAAGCTTTTTGGTTTCCGTTCTAATGCCCTTGCCAATTGATCAAGCAGCGACAAGAAAAAGCTTGCTTTGTAACTTTAAAGTTAAGAGGCAGGTCAAGCTTTTTTTTCACTGTGCAGGGCAATTTAGCTGGTCCCGGGAGCTATCAGAGCATATGACGTCAGAAGCTGTAGCTTTCATCCTGACCGTTACGAATTCCGTGATAATCAGCCTTTGTTCCATGTTTCAGGCTAATGTAATCAACCATTTCCCTGACTACTACCCTTCCATGGCTTAAAGGACTCTCTAATTGGTACATCGCGTGGTTTCCCCGTAGTGCATGGACAGCTGCATCTCATATCTGCCAATATTTAAGCTATCCAGGTTTCAGAAGCTTAGCATCGGGTAGTCCGTCCCGAGATGTAGATCGTTTACTTCATGACTAGAACTCAAGACGACTGAGATGCTGCACGAAACGCTCAATCGTCGGCTTTCCGCAATGAACCCTCGCCATTATTCTATATTTACGTCCGGATAGAACAATTTGAGGCACTGTTCCGGTGTATCATTGTGACATACTATATTGTACAAGAAGCACTCGAGAAAATTAACGAAAGATCGAGAGTTAAATCTTTCCGAAAAAAAATCGAAAAAAATCAAGTATAATAATACCCCGGACTCTTCACTCATGACTCTAATCAAAAACATCAGTAGCAAAACGCTCATTCCTACTCCTCTCAAACCAAGCTCGTGCCATTTCTTCAGTAACGTCCTTACCATTTTGCTGAGCCTTCTCGATGGCGAGACGGACACAAACATCCTCAACTGCTTTGCCAATTTCACGGCTTCCGCAGATGAATACCTTAGCTCCCTGATCCCACACCTTGAAGACATCCGCGCGATCATGATAGACACGATCCTGGACATACTTGCATCCCTCAGACTTATCAGTGGCGCGAGAGTACGCACGTCGCACATCTACAGCGCCCATCTTTTCCCAGCGTTCAAACTCCTCAGCGTACAGGTCATCGACCTCTGGGTTTCGACATCCAAAGAATAAAAGAGCTGGTGCGAGAGTTCGACCTGCGGCAAGCATGGCTGCACGTTCTTGGATGAAGCCGCGGAAAGGCGCCAGTCCAGTTCCAGCAGCGACACAGATGATGGGTGTCTTCTCGGCGTCACTAGGGAGGTGAAAGGCTTCGCTGGAGGCGCGGACTGAGACGTGGAGTTTGTCGCCAGCAGTGAGTTGTGACAGGAAGTTTGTGGCGACACCAACATGGCGACCTTGTCCAGAGAGCGAAGGGGCGTCAAGTAGGGAGTATGTGAGGGTGAGTTTTGAGGGGTCTGCAAAGGGTGAGGAAGAGATGGAGCTGTCTCGTTAGTATACATAGGCGGTGAGGAGGAAAGGGAACATACTATTGTCGGACTCTCATGGGAGGGAGCATGGCCAGATAGGAGCTGATAGGGAGAGCAACAGCAGGGAACTTCTCAAGAAGATCCAGAACCGAAACTCTCTTTGGCGAGATCTCAGCTTGATAAGCATCCCCAGCAAGTCTCTCGAGTTCCTGGATGGTGGCCCTGTCTTCAGTCGCCTCAGCCAGAGCAAGGATGTTCTGCAAACGTTAGTTAATCCTGGACGACAGTGATGAGATAACATACCCTCTTTGTAGCAGGTTGTGATAATTCAACATATGCGCTAAACACATCGAAAGCAGAAATGGCGACGTTGGTAGGCAGTGTAGTAGGTCCCTCTGACTGGATCTTCAGGAAAGAATCCCAGGCCAGAGAGAATCGTCGGAAAACCCGCGCCACAGTCGACTTCGGGTTCAGGGGAAGAATAGCAAGATAATCGCCGGCCTTGTAGGTCATGGCTGAGGGAAGCTGAATCTCAATATGCTTCTTCGCGGGACCCGACTTGGTGAGGGTCTTCTCAGCAACCACCAACGCTTCTTCAACATCTTGACGGAGACTCGTCTTTCGTGGTGTCGAAACCTCCACCAACAGACCCTTCTGGCCGCCTGACTCCTCGTCAGAGATCTTGTATTTCTCCTTCAACCCTGGCCAGAGGACAGTATCCTCCCAGGCTTCAAAGTCGCTAAACATGTCACTTGTGGCAGCGTCTGCACGGCCCATAGGAACGAGGCGAGTACCGCCACGCTTCTCAAGGGTAGAGTCAACAAGTTTGGGGATTCTGTGGAATGTTTCAACCCAGTCATGATGACCACACGCAAAAACAGCGTACGACACCTTTTCCATCTCGTTACCATCCAAATCTTCCATCCACTTAATGAAGTGGGCAGCGTTGGAGGGGGGTTGTCCTTCGTACGATGCAGTGACGATGACAACGGGGCGGTCTTCAGGAAGGCTCTGCTTGGCCTGATCGAGAGGACCGACTGTTGTTGCGCTGAAGCCGTGGCTAGGAGCATCCGAGGCGAGTCTGTTGGCGAGAGCCTCGCATGTGCCACTATTTGAACCGTAGAAAATAGCCATAGGCTTGCCACTGCCGGGCTTGACATCTGAATTGGCAGTGGATTTGATATTGTGATTCGAAGAGCTGGCACCTCCGCTTCCTGCCAGAACATGCTCTAGCTCAGTTGGGGTCATGCCATGTCGTAGGGTAGCGTTGATATAGAAGTGTACGGGCTTGATAGTCAGCGTCTGCTGGATCTCCAAAGCGTAGTTGGGATCCGTCATGGTGAAGTTGAAGTTCTGGAAGAGAACGACCATGGCGAGAAGAGACTCTTGCCAAGCAAAAGGACGACCGATACACGCTCGCTTTCCGTTTCCAAAAGGCTTCCAGCAGTTGGGGTACTCCTTGTTGAGTCTCGCAAATTCATCATCGAGCATTCGCTCGGGTATGAACTTGTCAGCGTCACTACCATATACGGCAGGGTCAACGTGGCCCCGAGACAGAAGAGCAGTGACAATTTCACCCTTCTTGACGAGATACTTGCCCCCGAGGAAGGTATCGTCGATGGCCTCGAGACCAAAGGCACTAATAGGAGAGTTGATCCGGAGGGTCTCTCTCAAAACAGCGCTTATGTAGGGAAGCTTTGTGAGATGCTCAACCAAGACGGGACCACGGCCGACAACTTCGTCGACTTCTTTCTGGACCTTGCTGTAGGCTTCGGGGTTCTTGAGAAGCTGATACATGGCGAAGGATAGAGTACCAGAAGTGGTTTCGTGGCCAGCGATAAGGAATGTGATGAGCTGGTTGGTGATGTTCTCGTCGGACAACTTCTCTCCCGTCTGAGGATCAACACCGTTAAGCATAGCAGCGAGAAGATCCTTCCTATCGCTAGGGCTTGCCTTTCGTGCGGCGACAACTTCATCGGCTACTGACTTCATCAATGCAATGTCATTATAGAACTTCTCGTTTGCTGCACGATAAAGAAAGTTGGGCGCAAATGGAGGTCGTCGGTTTCTGTTTCCTGACTCTGTGAGGAAATCGCCCATGGCCTCGATAAATGGGTGCAGTTCCTCCTTGTAATACGAGTTGAAGCGGAAATCCATGGCGCAGAGAGCCAGAGTATCAAGGGCTGATAATCGTTAGTGATGAGCATGCTGAAGATCCAATGTTTTACATACCTAGACGAGTAAAGTTGTCGCTCGCATCAATTGGTGTCCGAGGACCATGTCGAGCAAACTTCATGCACAATTGGGTAGCGATGTCGTGCATTTCTGGGAACATTCCTCTTATGCTCAAAGGGCCAAAAGCCGGTACTAGAATTCTGTGTGCTTTGCCCCAATTGGGCTCATCCTCGAATGCCGTGAAGAGGCCATCGTGAACACCCTCTCGAACTTGCTGTCAAGGGTCAGTGAAGTTCGATTGCTGATACTCCTGTTGCTTACGCTGAGAACCGACTTCAGTGTCTTTTTAAACCGCTTCTCGTCGCAAACTTCGTTGATCAATGAATTGGAAGAGACGAAAATGGGAGCCTTGGCTCCAAGACGTAATCGGAAAATGGGTCCTGAGGGGAATCAGTGGAGGCCAATGAATTAGTTAACGGTAGTGAATTAATTACCGTATGTATCTGCTAGACGGTTCAGATCAGAGAGGGGATTTGAAGTGAATTCTCCCAGGTTTCCAATTAGAGGGTAGCCAGGAGGCTCGGGAATAGGCACAGATTCAGCCATGCTGTATTTGTGCTGTGTCGTGCTGTGTCGTGCTGTGTCGTGCTGTGTCGTGTCGTGTCGGTGAGGAGTAGGTGGAGATGTGTTGAATGGGTCGTGGTTATTCGTTCTTATAAGACAGTTGAGTAAATGTGAACGATGTGATATGAGCCGAAGGAGCTCAGCTGAAGTCCGGATTTAAACTTGGCGTTGCAGTGGTGGAAAGTTTCTTGACCACCTTTTCTTTGGTACAGAATAAGTAGCCGAGCAGAACGAAGGGAACAGGAAATGATTAAATAAGTACTAAGGTAAAGATTAAAAAGGTCGATGGGTACAATACGACACAGACTCCTTTTTCTGCTCGCCTCACAACGTCATAGCAACGCGTCGTATGCAATTGCTGCGGCTTTATTACTAGAGAGGCTCACTCAACCAAGACTAACAGAACAGAACAGACAGAATCTCCCCCGTCCCCCGTCCGTCCGTCTCCGTTTCTTCAAACCCCGGCCCCGGTTGTGCCAAGTGCCGTGAACGTAAGCCAATCGCTGGATACGCATTAGATTAGACTCGCCAAGAACCTGTTCAAGTTAGGTACATAGTCTAGGCGGAATTGCATCTGCATCTGTATCTGCAACTGAACAAGAACGAGCCCTACAGACGGATCTAGCCATGAACCATAAGTCGTACGTTTATTACATGACATTACGTTCTGTTGAACCACCCCAAACACTATAGTATCAGTTCTTAGCTTACCAACTGAAACTATTTATCCCTTTCTTTTCTATGTATCTCTATGTTGTCTGGTGTCAATTCGATCCGATCCTGGGCATTATCTCATGCTTTTTTATGCCTCGGCATCTCTATCAAATTCTCGGCCGTGTCCGATGGCCCACTCTTCCCGCGCCGGATCCGAAACCCGAGGCGGTGAGACGGCTTGATTTAATCATCCGAATTCCCTTATTACGGAGGATTAATGAATAATTCAACAGTATTGGTTTCAGGGGATATGTATGCGAATTTCCAACAGAATACGACGCTCACGGGTCCCCCGATTGGTGTACATCTTGTCCTATAGTGAGCGGACAGTCGGCATGTCGATCATCTCTCCCCACCGTCTTGGCACCTTGAACGGCGTTTATTTACCGCCGAAAAGCCCGTTCCTGCAGCATGTAGGTATTCCTGGCTAGGTAGGCCTGGGCTGTTTTGTTGAGTGTGCTTCTACATAGATGGATGCTGCGCCTTGCATGGTCAGCACTAACGAACGGCTCTCACTCGGCGTTGACGATGATGGCTTCTAGCAAAAGCTCAGGCCATCATCAAGAGCAAAAGGTTAGGTCTCAGAGGGAGTCGAACCCTCGCTGGCGGAATCAGAATCCGCAGTCATAACCGTTAGACCATAAAACCTCACGATATGACGGCTGGGATGTCGCTGGCAGCAGCGGCGGAATTTGCCAACATGGAACGCACAATTCACCAACGTCATGATGTAAGCCCGAAGCTTTTATAGCCACGACCGCCGGTTCTATGCTCCGTACGGAGCAGTCGGAGAATCCTCACTGTTATAAGGCTTCCAGAAGACCCTTCCACCTTCCGTGTGTGGTCGGCGAGGTCGAGGCTTTTGAGTTTTACCCCTGCCTCTGATCTTTGATCTTAGGTCACATCGGCTCACGTCTTTATCTTCCTACCGTAGCTAAACTCTTGTAGCTTGTAAACTTAATTTTTGACATTGGAGAAACCTGACAGTATACTATATTGCACGGTAAGCAGTTGGGACGGTATGTCGAGAGTGTCAGTGACCAGGGAAAGTATATGTTCTCAATAAGTACTTCAGCATTGTAATTTTACCACGTTCCCTCTCGGCCGTTTCGTCTATTCTGGAAACCTAGTTCACCTACCTATACGCTGACCACCCATTCTTTCTTTCTCAAGCCCCTGTAGCCTCGGCATCTTCCATCATACCTTACCTACTAACCATTACACCACAAACTTGTTATAAACGCAACGGTCCGCCAACTTGAAGCGCCATGTCTGGTGCAACTTCCCGGTAACTCTTTTTCGAAAGACGCAAGCCAGGGCAAACTTGTTTCTTGGTGTCAACAGTAAACATGTAAAACTCCCAAGCTACCACACAGCGAGACCTCAAGACCGGGTACTAAGTAGATAGCTTTACTTGACCAGGCACTTCTAGCATCAGTACACTGATGAGCTTGTCTAGAGATGTAGGAGAATGGCAAACAGATAAAATGGAATTCAGGGAGTTGTCCTCCTTACGCCTTGAGCTATGGCTGCCTTGACAAACTTGTATGTTGGTGCAAGGTAAACATTAGTAGGTAAACAGAGGCAGGTGAGAAGCGACTTCTCCCAACTCTGCAAACATCAGAGCCATTTATCTTGTTTTATCATTTGGCTGGTTAATTCTTTCCTTTCAAGAAACTCACAGGCTTCCATGACCGAAATTTGATAAATCTTGCAGAATGCCTCAAACTGTCTTTCTTCTTTCAACCGACATCAGCAGCACCATCAACATCATCAAGGTTATAATCACAACTTTCGTTATCACCATATTGGTTACAGTATTCTACTCTCATTGTAGTGCTCTGTCTTGTATCACAGACCGAGCCATCCACTCACTGTACCCTATTTATTAGCCTTTGAGTTTTCCCTCACTTCCCGGGACCTTGGCAATCGGCGAACTTGCCATGGAGGAAAACGAGTGCCCCTTGTGTGATCTATTCGGGTCTAAAGCGGGATTGATCGGAGATCAGTATTGCGCAGCCGTAAGTTTTATCTCACATACGTGGCTCTTAAGCTTGTTGCAGTTGTTAACTTAAGCAGTGCGGTAGAACATGGAAAAACTCCGCCGTTAATCAGAGATCGGGGCCGGCGCCATCTCCTTCGAATGCTGAAGCCTCAACCTCTTCGCCTTTGAACCCTCGAGCCGCAGAATACCGGCTCCCAGCTTCCTCTCCAAGGGGTATCTCTTTGCCTCAGTCGTCGGAGGATGGCCCAGCCTCTTGCTCAGACACACGACCGCCAGAAGGGAGACATGCATCTTAGAAAATAGAGTCTCCAGGGGAGGGACATGTATCTAGAGATGTAGGGTCTCCAGGGGAGGGACATGCATCTGAAGAGAGAGATGCACCTCAAGAAATGCAGTCCCCCAGAAAGAGACAAGCATCTGAAGACACAGGGTGTCCAAAAGAAAGGCAATCGCCTTCCCCGTCCCCTCACAAGATTACTTCACGTGGAGGCCACAATTCTCCTGAACCAGCACACTCAGTCCGAGGAAGCATTTCATCCCCGGCGGCGGCTCCAACACCCGATGTTGTCGCACCCCCTACTGTGGACCAAGAGACACATTCGGCTGGCTTAGATCAAATCCCACCAGTCTCCCCCAAGATCCAATCTGAAGATCCATCCCACCCTTCAGGCCAGGATCAGGAGAAGAAGCCTGATCAGAAGCCAGCGCTGAGTTATTCAGAGGTTCTTCAATTAAACTAGTCCTCAAAGAAACAAGACTGGATACCTGCGAAATCAAAGAAGCAATCCAAGGACGAGACCTCGAACTGGGAAACGGACCTGGACTTCTCTAAATACGAGAACATTCTTCCTTGGTAGGCGTAAGCTAGATTTACCGACCAGCAAAAGGGAGACCAAAGATTCTACCAAGAGATAGAGAGACTGGGTCAGGAGAAGCGTCCGCAAGAGCGATGTGATATTTCTGGATCCATGCAGCGAGATAGTCAAATACATTGCTTTTTTGTAAGAACTGAACATCTCCTGTCCCGAGTCATTCCCTTGATCATGCATCAAAATTACAAGAAGCTGCCTTGTTTCAATATGTAATTATCAGCGAGGCGTCTATATTTCATAGCATCTTAATAGTCAAAGGTTGATGTAAGTTCGGCTCTTGCAAGGCTTGTCTGGTATCTCAACAACCAACCAATAGACTTGAACACATTAGAATTACCTTACAGGAGCCCGTGTCCATTGGCACGCTCGACAGCCGTTGTCTGGAATGCAATCATTCGATGTCCATTGACACAACCAACATGGGTCGAGCTCACAGTAAGAACACTCGACATCAGTCTTCAATCTTTATGGAGTAACCCTGAAGTCCATTTATGTAATTATCAATGCCGCTGGTAGCTCAATTCCAATCATTCCCGTGTTCCCTACCAACTAAACCTCCATTCTATTCCGTACATCAAAGCGCATACGTCAAGAAATTGGCACTTGGTTGCAGTCACTGCACGTTGTGTATCGAGGTGGCATGATAGCAATACGTTATCTCACCAAGGTCTGCCTCTAAGACCTCTCATTGTCTTCATGCCACCTTGCGAGCGAACGACGAGGAATCAGGACTTCTGATATCGTCCTCAATGCGATTCCCCCAGAGTTTGGTGAGTGACGATTCTACTGTCGCCTTTCCTCTCGTGGCGGTCCGTTACCAGGCCCTCCTCCACCAAATCTATCGCGGAGCCAGCTAATGGGGCCATGGCTGCTCTGCCGGCGTTGTTGATCCGACTCCGCCGCTGACCGACGGCTACTCTGGGAAGGGCTTCTCTGCCGCATACGAGCGCCATGTTCACTCGGGGCAGTCGCTCTAGGACTTGTCGGAGAGTGTGAGCTTCGTCGCTGAAGTCGAGACGTGTCGTAGCTAAACCCTGATGTCTCGCCTCGTTCACGCTCGCGTTCACGTTCTCTTTCTTGTTGCCGGTTCGAGATAGTACGCAATGCTTCATTCAGGCGGCTCTGGCTCTGACTTGGAGGTCGCGAGAACCGCATCGGGCGTGTGTGAGAATGAGGGTTGTCGAATGGTGTCCACTGGTTGGGAGCGAACGTGAATGACGCTCGAGTTCCAGACGGGTTCGGTTGGTCAGAGTTAGAACCTGGCATTGGACCTTGGGATTGGGAGCCGTTGCCGCTATTATTGTTGTTCCCATTGCCGCCATTATTGTTGCCGCTGCGATCGGTCTTTTCGATCGGCGTTCGGCAGATGGGGCACGTGTTGTGCTCCTTTAACCACAAGGTGACACACTCCTCGTGAAACCAATGATTACAGGGTAAAAATGTGGCCATATCCCCCTCCTTCATCTCATCGATGCAAATGGTACACTCTGCCTTTCCCTCCGAACCCAACATTTGTTTGTCGACAGGTTTTCGTTCCAGGTTCTTGAGAGCTTCCTCTGTAGCTGGAGGAGCGGCGTTGGACTGGGGATTGGCTTCCATGAGTCCAGTAATGATCCGATCCAGAGCCTCTTGGGAGTACACTGCATCACCATGCATTGCATTTGCTGGATTAAGAAGATTCAGGATATCTTGCAGGCTTCGAGCCAGACCGGGTGGAGGACCTGCAGCGCCTTCCTCACCGTCATGGTTATGAGCGGGTGGTGGCGGTGCAATGTCGCGTAGCATGTTCTGAAAGAAACTGGTACGCTGGTTAGCTCCAATAGTCATGGAAATGGCCGTGACTCGCAAGCCGCCAGGTCGTTCAGCAAGCTGAAATGGGGGTTGTGCATACTCTTGAAATGTTTCGCCTCCTGGGGCACCAGCAGGACCACGGCTTGTTGCATGGATAGGTCCCGATACGATTGTTACAGAAGTCGTTCCGCCTAGTGGTCCTGACGTGAAAGTCGTCCGGTGAATGCGCGGTCCAAAGTTTGGTTCTTGGGGCAGTTCATGTTCACCTGGGCTCGGTGGGAAAGAACCGTTGTCGCCAGGTGCTCGAGGTCCAAATCCGTTAAGCATATCCCAGAAGCGCTCATAAGTTGGCGCAGTAGCGGGATCATGATGATGTGGGTGGTTCGGACCGGCTCGGACGCTCCGTCGGAACACAAAGCCATGCTGGGCATGCTCATCTATGTCGGCTTCTTCAGGATCTGAATCGTACGGGTGATGCTCGGGTGAGGTGGAGGCAGAGGAGTGGTGTTCAAAGTCGCGGGGATCGTTTGCGGGATCGATCTGAACATAGTGGTAAGCATTCTGGATAGGAAGTGGCAGCGTGGGAAAGCATACAATTTCAGTAATCTCGCCGTGACATTCGGGACAAGTTAGTCCATTCTCGTCTCGATACCATTCCCCAGCGCAGGCGTGGCAATATACTACCTCACGGCCTGCGCTCGCGTCGAGGTGACCATGCCTCTCGGCATGAGAAGACATCTGCTGCGCTTGGCTGCGTTGGTACGCAGTCAAGGCACTCAAACCAAGGCCGACAGCAAGGCCGGCGAGGCGAAAGGCGCGCGAAGCCAGACTGAAAGATAGTTCAAGATGTCGTTGAGGCGAAAGATCGAGGTTGGGTGATGTAGGAGACCAAGTGTGAGAAGGTCTACGTGAGATCAACAGGAGTTGAGATTAGTAACACAGGTTGAGTGGTGAAGGGACGTATGGAGGATTAAGATAGAAGTAAGAAATAAGGAGGAAATGGTCCGGCTCGATCCAGGAACCAGAGCCAAACGAGGTTACCAAGACGATGAGATAGATCTGATCGATACAAGGTGGTATGCCGTCCGTTGGTTGACGTTCAGTCTAGCTCTTAGGCTGGTGGCGAATAGCTTAAGAAGCGACCCGCAAACTGGGCAAAGGATAACAACGGTGATGCAGTGCCAAGCCAATGACGAGCTGAGTTGGGATAGACACTGACAGTCAGTGCCCGTATGATCAAAAGCGGTATGAAGCGAGAAATAATCTAGGAAGGGTAAGGCAAGGTAGGTAGTAGGTAACGATTGTAGGTGAAGGTGAAGGTTTAAGGCAGAGACAGCGCTGAGCAGCCTCTGGAACACAATCGATACCCGCGGAAGAAGATCGGAACAGCTGAAATATGGCCAACAGCCTCAGGTTGCCGCACGTAACAGAGACAACATAAGGATAGGAAAGGGAAGGTAATGGGAAGAATTTCGGCTTGAAATCAATATTCAATCAAGCCACTTGAAAGAATCAAATACTGCCAAACATATCAATATTAAAGAGGGGATGTTGCCTTGGCCAACAACGCAAAACAGCCTTGGAGCCTCAATAAGCATAAGCAGCGGAGCACCCCTCATGTCATGGAGGTAGGTGGTAGGTTGTGCAAGGGTCCTCTCTAAGGTAGGTGCCTATCGTACCTAATGGTAGAAAAATACCTGGACCTAGAGCCGGTAGTGACCTCAGCGGCAGCGGCTTAAAGTGGACTCAGGCAGTTTAATCCTGGTGACCCCAAGTACCCCTGGACCTGATATTTAGTACCTCGTTGGCTGTCTCAAGACTGCCCGAGTGGACTGCCAGTGAGGGTGTTAGCAGACCGGCTATGGTGGGGGATGAGTTGGCGTGTCTCTGAACCTCATCTTGGAGAGAACCGATCGTCAATGATTCACAGCCGGCTTGTATGGTGTTTCTGTTATTTGGTCATGTATAGTATCAGGCAGTCAGTCAGTACCCCAGGCAGACTGGACGGGACTGAACTGCTGGCCCATGTCTGAATGACATTTGATGAGGTAGTATCCGTAGTTCTGCATCATGATTTATCAAGTTAGATACAAGTATACTTGCCGTTACTTCCCTTATTTAGCACCAATGCTCTTGAAAACAAATTTATGACCCAATTTCAACTAGGTGTTTCATTCTCAGCAACATCTTTTGAGACCCTGTCTCAGTCATCATCTTCAACACATTCAGACGAGTTTGATGTCAAGTGGGTTTACTCTTGTGTAGGGTGTGTTACTGGGTCCTTGTCATCGCCCTTGTCTTGGTCGCTCTAATAGGATTGTCACGTCAGTTCGGCTGTAACGGATCACTATCTGCAGTCGTCTGATGCTTTATGTGAAAGCTGTTTCAGTAATGTGGAATTCAGTCCAAGCTCACTTCAAGAGGACGGGGCTCAAATAGAGGCCGACTACGTCGTACGCACATCTTCCCAGCATACCTTAGAGTCTTGTTGTGAAAAGAATAGTCCCAAAGTGTTATGTTGGGCTAATGATTCTCCACGTCTAGTATAACGGGAGGCAAACCGCATGTAGGGAAATCCCAGGTGTGAATCAGTTCATCTCAATTTCGAAGCACTTTTCGTTCTTCATAAAGGCCATCGAGATACCACCAGTATGAGTCTGCTTCTCAGGAACTACAAGGCGATATTGATTCACATACTACGCAGTAAGCATATTTAGCAGTGCTCTAATTTGCTCTCAGTAACGAGCATTGCCACCCAATTGATAACCCTACGGCCGGGGAAGCAGCATGTTGGTAAGCCAAAGAACAAACTAGAGACTTCTTGGGTCGAAATTCAGCTTCTCATCATTTTTGATCCCAGTCGAGATGTTCCAGGGAGCTTCGTGAAATGGAATATAGCAACCCTTATCATCACAACATCATAGACACGAGATATTGATCTTGAATCAGATTGTATTCCTCTTTCGCAGAAATTTGTACACAGTGTCGTTTTATCCAACTCTATTCGCTCTTTGACGCATTTCCCTGGTCCTCTTGATCCCACTGCTTCAACTGTTTCGACCAGCTAAACCCCATTGTTAGCACTTTCGCTCAGAATCTCGCCAATGCGGAATTGGATATCATACTGTCGGCTGGCGTACCACTGCCCTTGCTCAGGTCGGTGCGCCCATTGTTCTCGTCCAGCGCTGAACTTCCACGTAACCGCAACGATTCCGGCCATGACGACACCAGCAATCAGGGTGTTGGCGCGCCAGTTCGCAGGCTGCGCGTACCAACCACCGGCTGGAGACCAGACGTGCTTGGGGTAACTGTCGTAGGATGGGTTAGATACGGTAATCGCTTCGCTTTCGGTGCTTGGTTCGTGAGAGGCAAAACTTACGGGACTTTTCCGCCGCCGCCCTGGTCAATGAGTTAGCATGGACTCACTCCAGTTCGTGGGCTTCACTCACCATTTTGAACAATTGACTAACAGACGAAAAAGAGAAGTGTTGACAGGGCGATGGCGACGTTGAATTGGTTCAAATGGTCGGTTGCCAACATGTGAGGTCCCAGCTTCAAAGGCGGCTGTACGGGAGAAACGAAGAGCGGGCCGCCTGTTGTTCCGGTCAAACCACACACCCCAGCTCACACGACTCTAGCCTTGTAGCGCAGAACTTTTTACCCGTCGACGACCAACAAAACAGGCGACAATCTCCAATTCGCTCCGTCGCCTCATCGACGCCTTTCACAAACCGACGGGACATTCGAGAGAAAATTTACTGGGCTCGATGAAGAGGGTACGGATCGATCGATGGGGTGGCCAATTGCTGCAGGCCCATGCCCGCGGTATCGGTAGCGGCATCTCAAGACAGGCATTTCTACAAACGACTCGACGTCAAGCTTCTACAGCTGCCGCTTCTCAAACCAACGAAGAAACACCTACATTCGCCAATCTCCCATCTCCCTCCCCCGAACGTGCCGCTGAGTCGGCTAAGCTTGCGGCTCTCCACTCCCGGTTATCACTCTCCAACAAGATCCCTCTGGAAACTCTCGCCCGGGCCCTCATCGTTCCCTCAGCCGACAAGAACCCCAGCTTCAACAACGCCAACCTCGCCTTCCTCGGCAGCACATTCATCAACTATCACGTCCTCGAATTCCTCGTCTGTAAATGGCCTCGTCTACCAATGGCTGTCCTCTACGAGGCCCTCCGTGCCTATTCTGGAAAGGAATCTCTGCATCAAGTGGCGCGCAGGTGGGGTGTTGAGGCCGCTGCTGCTCCCGGTGAGGAGGTCGATCCTGGCCTGTTACAATGGGCACCCCGGGATGCGGATATGCAGTCACGCTGGGGCTCTGTCCGTCAAGAATCTGCTTTTACAGACCGATTTAAACCCCGACGAGGAATCAGCAGTCGTGTAGTCTACGACAATGCTTTTGGCGATCCTGTGAACGTCGAGAAGATGAGCAGTGAGGAGGGCTATAAGTATTACCAACACGAGGCGTACTCTTCATTTGTCCAGGCCGTTGTTGGTGCTGTTTACACCCACTGTGGTCAAGACGCCGCTCGCGATTTCGTCAAAGCTCACGTCCTTGCTCGACAAGTCGACGTTTCTACCATGTTCGAATTCAGCCTACCTACACGAGAACTCTCCATGTTGTGCGCTCGTGAAGGATTTGAGGCACCTATTGCTCGTCTAGAGAGTGAGACAGGTCGGCATTCACGAACTCCTGTGTTCATTGTTGGTATTTACAGCGGTTCTGAGAAACTTGGCGAAGGTGGCGGCCCTAGCCTGGACGTTGCCAGATGGAAGGCATCGATGAACGCCCTCAAAGCGTGGTACCTCTACAGCCCCGGCAACAAGGTCCGGGTGCCAAGTGACATGTACGAGCCGGATGCTAAGCGCTGGACAGCCCCTCATATCGATATTGGTGAGGTCATCTAAACCAGAAATGTCGTGGTATTGGATATATTTGTACTCAGAGTGGCGTATCAGGCGTCGGCTCTTCATGTGGATAATGAGCAATTTTCGCCCCGGTTGGGCTGTGTATAAAAATTACATGGGAGCATAGGATCCTAGAGGATCAGGTTGGGAAACGTCACTGTAAGATACAATGTAACACAATGTAACACAATGACAAAACTCAACAGAATCAGAATCAGAATCAGCATCAAATTTTTACATTATACTGCGTCCCTGACGCCTGCACGGGTATACTAGATACATGCTTCTTTAAGTCAAATGATGATTCTGCCAGGAATGTTGAAATCACAGGCTCAACTGAAATGATCGCCTTCGCCCAGACGGATGCCTTCGCCTCTCCTCATACGAGATCGATAACGGTCCTGACGTTGAGCCTTTTCTGCTTCCTCGCGAAGCTTCTTCTTGCGCTGATACACAGCGCGGATGGTATCTCGAATCTGCTGCTTTCCCTCGTCGTAGTTTGCTCGAGCCAATGCAGTGACATTATCAATCTGTTCAGGGGTATAGATGAAGTTCCATGTGCTAAGGTACTCGGTAGTTCCTGGAGAAATACCAGGGACCTTGTCGTTGGAAATGAAAGGCAAATAGACAACAGCAATGCCAGCATCAGGCTCCATAAGCTGCCATGATGTCTCGTCCGAGATTGCTTTTGAGGGAGGTGGTGGCTCAGTACTGCGTTCTGTGTTGGTCCCAACCCAGACAGTGCAGTAGCCCAGATCGCCGGACTCTTGATCCCCAGGTTCGAATTTGGTCTTGTCATTCTCTGCCATAACTTGCTTGCCCTCTTCGTGAGCTTCTTGGCGAAGCTCATCCTGCTCTTTCTTGGCTTCGCGGAGTTTAGCCTCAGCTTCACGAGTGGATTTCGCCTGTGCCTCGTCTAGCTCTTGTACTACCTGGGATGTAGCTTCTCCGGGCTTGGGCCAGCCAATGCCCACGGGCCAACCCCGGACACCGCGTTGACGGGCATAGCCATCGGCAACTGAGAGCCAGTTGTCGGTTTTGATATCTGCAGACGCATCAAAGGCAACAAGTACGTCCACATCTCTGCCCGGTCGCAGGAGTGGGTAGATAGGCAAGTTATTAGACATTCCAGCATCCATAAGCTGAATATACTCGTTGTCATAAATACTGGTCGGCGTGGTTTCCGGCAATTTTCCGTGCATTCCGTAGGCAAAGTTGGGTATTTTGGCAGGATCAATAGGATGCACTTTTACCAAGTCATCATCTCGTGTCGAGATGAGTTCATCAATAGTCCCAAAACCAGTCAGACCCTGGACAAGTGGCTTGATCTCTCGGTAATAATGACTGAGAGTTGCACAGAATGCGCTACCAAAGATGCCCATGAGGAGTGGCAAGCGAAGTTCGGGGAGATGGAAGCCATTCTCAGGAGGAACATCACACCCCTGGTTGAATTTGCGGCCTAAAGCCCAGGTGGGGATTCCGGCGCCGAACTCTTCACAAAAGAATTCGTACGGGGTGATCTCATACCACTGAAACCACGCCTCCTTCTTTGCTTTCTCTTTGGCGATCTCGGCCTCGATGGGGCCTTGTTCAGCAGCCTCTGGCAAGTCAGGAATCTCGTGTCTCACAGCAGTATAGATAGGCATTGGTAACTGCCCGTACTGGACATATTGGCGTTGGTTTGAGAGCTTAAAGTCGCGATCGTTGACTCCAAGGTCTCCTTTCGGCACAAGATACCGAGCTGCCAGTAAGACACCATACACATCAACGAGACCAAAATCTGCCTTGGGATCACCCTTGAGCTTCTCGACCATGCCACTCAGGAGGTATTTATTAGTCGGCATAGAAGCAAGAGATTGGAAGGCCACGGGCGGGTAGGCGATATGGGTTGATGCCCTAGCTTTGAGGTGCTCGAGAAGGTTACGAATGTTTCCCTTGTTGAACGATGTGAGACTCAAAGCTTGAAGCCAGCATGAGCCACTCACGCCCGAGGTGTATGTGACGCAGTCAAACAACCCATCTTCTTCAGTGGCAAGAATTGATCCAGTTCCAGCAATAAGTGCTCTCAGACCTCCACCAGAGCCGCACATTGCAATTGTAGGAACATCATCTGGATGGACATCCTCCTCCTTCAGTCCCAGATATTTAGCCAGCCCTATTCTGGCGACTCGTTTTCGCCGGGACAAAAATTCCTTCTCCTCATCGCAAAGATTGGGTGAAACTCTAACTTTGGCTGAATATCGAATCTCGGGATTAATTAGGGGGTCGTGGGCGTCTTGCCAAATCTCGTCGGCCAGAGACCCTGGGGACATGGAGAGTTCACGTTGAAGTTTCCGAACATAGCCTGGGATAAGTCTGGACCACTCAGGGAGGAGATAACTAACGACCTTGTCGGAGAAGGAGGAGAATTGAACATCGTTGAGCTTACAGAACGTCTCGAAGCGGCGAGCAAAGTTTATCCAGGCCGACTGGTCCGTATCTGATTCTCCATCCTGAGTCTTGTCTTGTTTCTCGTCCTTTGGAGAGTCCTCATGGGATCGCTGCCTCAATTGTTTACCGGAAAGCTGTGCAAAGTCGTCAGAAGGGTAGAGCCACCAGATGAAAAGCCCGCTGGTAATGACTGCTACTGGAAACGTCGATTTTTGCTGTGCTTCTTGCTTGGCATCGTTTTCGGATGGAGATGTCCACAGATGGCGGTGTTGACGATGCGATAATCTTCGTCGGGGGATCCGCTGGTGGGTATTGAGTCTTGTAGTGACTCTATTGAGGCTCTTGAGAGAGCCGCGGTAGTTTCTCATGGTTCTGGGTGCAATTGGGTTTCGTCGAGAATTTTATTGTCATAGTTTGACAGCGCACAGCACATGCTTTCAGTGGCTGCAAGCCCAAACTCAGTGCATTGTCGCAAGACAAATAGAGAAATGGGTAGATCTTTGAAAGAGAGTATAGAATCGAAATGGCAGATTGGACCGCGAGATTAGGTCGACACCTCGGCAGGTATCCGAAGGAGTTGGTGCCTGGATGCTGGGGATTTTATATGACACTACCTTACCACGTTGCGCAACTTGTTGAGAATAGCTCAAGATGGCTGATGTCATTCCCAAGTTCCGTCCTGCAAAAGTGGGATGTGGGGGTCTACGAGTGCAAAACTAGAGGGGTACTTGAGAGCTGAATATGAGTCTCGACCATTCCAAAGTATTTCTCTATCGCTTTCAGAGGTCACACGTACGTCGGGGCAGATGGACGCTCCCGCATCATGCCACGGATCAAGCAAGAGAATCGAAAACTCCCGATCATTATATCAAGATGTTGTAACTTTTGCGGTTCCATTCGGAGGTTTTCTCTCTGTTTGGCATGTGGCATGCATTCACTTTATCTGTGCCACGGATCTTCAGGTCCGTTTTCAACTTGGATGGTCAAAAAGCTTGGTTCCGAGCCAAGGAGACAAGACAAGGCCCAATCAGGTTGCAGCTGACGGTCAACTCGGGCTCTCTCTTTTCAAAGAGCTTAATTATCGCCAAGTTTCATTGTGGTAGAGTGGCTCGATTTTGGGGGAAAGTCGTCGCTACTCGATCTCTTGATCAACCGCTCTGCTCTGATACAGTTACAAAACTTGACAAATCAGATCGAAGAATTGCTGCATACCTAGGCTATGTCTGATTTGGTCGACTGAGAGACATGCTCTTAAATAATACAAGTTCTAAATATATTTGTCGAATTACAATTTTGGTCTCGAGTTGTCATCGTCATGATGCTAGATAAACTCTAACTACCTAGGCTCCTTAGGTTATCTTGATCATGGAAACGGAACACTTGCGAGGGAGCGGCAGGAAAGTGGGGTCATCCGCGGTGGGGGGAAATGAGAGACAGTAACTTCCATTGTGGATAGCGGACTTCCAACGCCAAAAAAGGTGGGCGGTGAAATCGCAAAGCTAAGTCTATGGAGCGAGAGATGGGCCTTTCGATGGTTTTTTTTTCAAGGTGATTTTTTCCTCGCGCGGCAGAATCAATCAATCGCTTTTTTTTTACTCTTCTTCAATTGAATCTGTTTCATACAAACAAAACACATCAATTGTGTAACTCAAGATAATTCTTTCTATCAAGGTAAGCTTCATTGAACAGGCAACAGTTATACCGATGACTCGCTTTTTTTCCAACCCCGCCACCATCTTTCAACGTTTTCGCGACCTTTTCTCACTTCGCTTCTAGCTTCTTTCCTCTTTATCCTATCACTCAACACTCCTTAGCCTGCGAACGTGAAACAGTCGCGATCGCGCATCGTTCCCAATTATCAAATAACGGTCGAAACTCACAATGAGCGAAGCTGAAGCCTCCAAGCCTGTCGAGGCTGTCCAGCCTGAGGCTGACGTTCCTACCACCCAGCCCACAGAAGAGCAGGTTGAAGAGAAGACAGAGCAGAAGGCGGAGGAGTCCACAGCAAAGCCCGAGGAGAAATCTGAAGAGAAGAAGGGGATTTTGAAGACAACAGCCAAGCATGATGATGCAAACCCTCGCAACAACCGCAAATTCGACCCTTCAACCCGTGAGGTCACTGATGACCCTGAGGCCATCCGCAAGCAGGTATGTATAGCTTCACCCATCCCCCCTTGCCGCGCCGTGTACTTACTCCTCTAGGTCGAGTTCTATTTTGGCGACTGGAACTTCCCTCAAGACAAGTTCATGTGGGAGTCATGCGGCGGAAGCGAAAACAAGCCCATGAAGGTCAAGACTATCCACTCCTTCAAGCGTATGCGAACATTCCAGCCCTACAGCGCCGTCATTGCTGCTCTCAAGGACAGCAAGTTTCTTGAGCTCTCCGGTGAGGAGGGCGAGGAGGTCGTCAAACGCAAGACCCCCTACCAGCCCATGAACGCCTCCAAGGCCAAGGTCGAAGCCGCTACCGTTTACGTCAAGGGCTTTGGCGATGAGGCTCCCAACACCCAATTCGACCTTGAGAGCTTCTTCGCTCAGTTTGGCGAGGTCAAGGGTCTTAAGCTCCGACGCACAAACGAGGGTCTCTTCAAGGGCTCCGTGTTCGTCACCTTTGCCGACGAGGATGAGGCGAACAAGTTCCTCAAGATTGACCCTAAGCCTAAGTGGAAGGACCACGATCTCAAAATCATGAGCAAACGAGCTTATTGCGACGAGAAGAACGACCTTATCCGGCAAGGGAAGATTGAGCCTAACCAGAGCAATCCCCGCAAGTTTTATGAGGGACGAGAAACAGGCAAGGGTGGACGTGGACGAGGTGGAAAGGATTCTCGTGGCCGTGGCCAGGACGACTGGAAGCAGCGACGTGAGAACGACCAGAAGAACGGGTTCAAGGATCGACGAGGTGGGCGCGGCGGCCGAGGAGGCCGTGGTCGAGGCCGTGGCCGTGGTGGACGCGATGGTGGACGTGACCGTGATCAGTCCAAGGATGAGGCCAAGCACAGCAGCAACGAGTAAGCCGCCCTAATCATTATACTGAGAGGTATCTGCTAATATCCTACACAGTACCACCCCTCGCATCCAGTCTACCGCCGACGAGTCTGCCGATAACAAGAAGCGAAGCCGCGATGAGGATGCTCCCTCCGGTGAGCCTGCTGCCAAGAAGATCGATGTCAAGGCCGAATAGGTCAAGTTCAAGATGAAATTAGAATCACTCATCTGAATCGAGGAGGAAAATGGAACCAAGAAACGACCAACATCATTTAGGCTGATTCCATATATTGAACAAAAAAGGGGGGGGAAGGGTTCAAAAACTATGAAGTTTTGTGAAAGGGAGATGAGGCGGAAAACGCAACAACTGTATTATGGGATCTTTTTACGGAGCAACCAGGTGCTTTGCTATCCTTTCCTATTGTCTATCACGGGTCTATAGATGGCTAGTGGCATTTGACAAAGATTGTCAAACAAGTAATACTATTCGCAAGTGACTTGATCTCCATTATCGCGATTCCCATTTGTTTTCTCTAAATGGCCCCCTTCCTTCTCAGAACACACCTTATTTTACTTCATGGCGACTCTATACAGAGTAATCCAGCTTTTTATCGCCAAGGACGCCCCAAAACTCTTCGATAAGCTCTTTTTGGCCACTTGGTGCTCCTCGCACAGCAAGATATACACGTGCCTCAAGCTCAGGATCCCAATTGCCCGGGTTTCCATGTACCATGCGCCCACCAGCCTCGTTGAGGATCGCCCATCCAGCACAAACATCCCACGCCCAGCATCCACCCTCCCAGTACAAGTCTACCTGTCCCGCGGCCACAGCAGCAATGTTCAGCGCAGCAGAGCCCATCGACCGCAACGAGTGAACCATTGATCCGCCGTTTTCGGGAGTCGCTGTCAGCTTTCGGAATGCTTCGACCTTGATGTCAAAGTTGGGTCCGTCACGTTGCGCTCCCCATTCGACGGCGACGAGAGAACTGCCGAGGCCCTCGATTGGTCGCGGTGAGCGTGCGAGAGGAAGACGGCGGGGTTCTTTTCCACGACCGTGTGTGAGGAAGGCGCCGCGGCCCTTAATAGCGGTGTAGAGGGTGTCGAGCCAGGGGTTGTAGATGACGCCAATGGTAGGCTGACGATCGATTGCGAGACCGAGAGAGATACAGGCGCTGGGGAACGAGTGCACGAAGTTCGTTGTTCCATCGATCGGATCGACAATGAAAGTTGGTTCAGGGCCAAGTCTCACTCCAGGCTTGTATGTCTCTTCGCCCACGAAGGAGATCGAAGGGAATGATGAGGAGAGGCGGGTTGAGACCATCTTTTCGACGCCCTTGTCTGCTTCAGTAACAATGTCCACGGCTGCAATTGTGTCAGCTACAAAACTTATCATGGACAGAACATGATCGTACAGTTGAGCTTGGTGTCGGTGTCAAGCTCAGCAGGATTGGCAGCCAAGATCATGGCTCCGGCCTCGTAGGCCACTGAGACGAGCTCATCATGAACAGCTTGAAGATCGATATCGTCCATTGTGTATAATGTCTCTCCTGTTGTTGACCGAACAAGATAAGATGATGTTATGATGAAGTGGAGGAACAGATTTATGGAGGGGTTCTCGATGATTTGGTGGGGCAGCTCAAGCTGACGTCTGTGAGGGGCCGAATGCCGGGGCCGGTCAGAACGGACCATCCAGAGCTTCCCAACATTGCAGTGATACTCAATGAACAGGGGCGAAATAGCACGTTGGGTTTGTGCTGTGCCTCAATTGGACAGGATAAGAAACGCCGTGGATTAAGTATCAAGTCACTATCTACAGGAGTGATACAAGACTTCCGTGAACTACCAAATCAATAAAAGAACCCTCGGAGCACATACACAATGTCATGATATATCAGAATTCCACCCAACCAAGTCCAGGCTCTGCATGAACCACAGGCTCCCAAGCCCAGTAGATAAGAAAGAAAGAAGGAAAGGCAAACGTAGAAAATTCGCAAACATTACATAATCGGCGGCTTTTGTCTCGTCTTCTGCAACGTCCTCGACTCATTCAGCTCATGTCTTGTCTTACATGTTCTCCCTAAACACAGACCGTCGCTCTGTCGGACTGCTCTCGGCGCTGCCGCTTCTGTTCTTGGGTTTCGCAACTCCCGTGTCGATAGGTCGAGGGCTCACGCCGCGCAAACTTGAACCAGCATCGTCGTCGAACGGGTTTCGCCCTCCGGGTCCCGATGCAGGGCTTCTGCTTGCTCTACGCCCCCTATCCTCCTCTTCATCGAAACCTCGACCGCCCGGCAATCCCGGCGTCGCCGCGAGGTTCATGTTGTAACCACCGCCGTATCCGGTGTCCCGGCCGCGACCACCAACGTCCTCCTCATAGTATCCATATTGGTCTGCTTCGTTTCCAACGCGCGAGTCCCACGCTTCATCAGGATCCAGTGGACCAAAGCCTCGACGGCCGCGAGCACCACCGGATTGCTCGTAAGCGCCAGCGGCGGATCGGTTGTTACGGTTCTTGAATTTGCGAATCTTGTCGTTGAACCAGCCAGCGATGCCGCTAGGAGCGGGCTGTATTCCATAGCCGCTATCTTCCTTATGCCATGGTAGATACGATGCAAGACTTGGAGGGGGGAGCTACAGAGATGGGGTATTAGCTTGATTGACATGATTGGGACCGAAGGAATTGACATACGCCGAGTCTGCGAGCACGAAGCTGTGTGAATACAACCCATCCAACAGCTCCTGCAACGAGAAGGACAATAATGGCGATCACGATGCCTCCTGCCGTCGACACCATCTTTCTGTGATCCCGCTTCCGACTGTCCAAGGAATTTGCGATGCGATCAGTCGCGTGGTGACGAAAGACGAGATAGTGAGACAGATGCTGGTCGGGCGCAAAACGCAATGATTGGGTTATCTACTTTGGTGTTTGAATAGTAATAATCCGCCGTGGTAAGGAAAGATACAATGAAGGGTTATTTTCGCAAGTGAACTTTGGTGTCCTTTGTTTGACTTTGGCTTGTCGTGTTGGGATGAGGTGGCGGTGGTTCGTCCAAACTCCTATAGTGCAAGTGCAGTATGAAGATCCAATGTCACTGACTGGGTTTCGACTGAGATGTAATGAGCGCTGGAGGACTGGACGGGAAAAGCTTAGGGTGGTCCACTTCTGTCAGCGCCCACGAACTAGGGCTGCTTACAGTGGGCTTGGCGCTGGTACCGGCTCTGGATTTAGTATCAGTGGCCCGCTCTAATGGAGAAAGGCGTTTAAGTCCCTGTAGATTTTCCTAAGGTTCCATGGCATCTAATCCCCTGCTCGAGAAGTCTCAACCCTCCTCAGTTGCAACAGCATCCAATTCTAGGTTGCATTCACACATCCATGTCAATTGGACTTCTTTCCAAGATTAAGCATCGTGAAAATGATTTATTTGTTCTGGCGAGTCGCACTTATAGCTTCCTCCTATCTCATTAAATAGCTACGGATAGCATCTTATTTCTTCACCCCTCGTATTCCTCACCCGAGCAAATCCACTCCCTTGCATCCGAGTCTATTTCAGTTCATTACAACGACTACCAGTCTCTTTGAATAGCAAATAACATGCAATTAACCACTCTGTATATCCAACTCGTCCTGAGGCTCATCCCTTGATACCGCACTTATTCCAATGCCCTCCCTGCCTCGCAAACGACAAGCTCTCCACGAAATCCTCCAGCTTACATCGTCCATACTCATCCCCCCCACAGCTCTCCATTTCCATAACTCTGTCATTTATCACCACCCTCACGTATTCTTCCCCCTCCTCTTCATTTGAAGCGCCGCACTCGAGCTTCTCTACGTACATTCGCGCAGCGAAGGGGACTACCCATGCCGATGAGTAGCCATGTGTTCGGATAGCTGGCACGATATGGTGTTTCGGTAGCTTGCTTGTCGAGTTGTACAGACCCATTGCTGAGAAAATAGACACCATAGTGTTGTCGTGGCTAAAGTCCGCATATAGCGCCCTGTCCAGGGGAAATGTCTCAGGATTGGCGTCCAACGTGCGATTGGTTGTGGTGTGGTCATTAACAGGCTTCCTCGTCAATCGAGAAACAAGCTCGTTGACGTATCCTACGCCCTGTGTCGGTCCCATTGCGTTGCCATTACCATATTCGTAATATTTGCCTAGAGTCATGTAGTAATCGTAGCTTCGCCAATCTTCTGTAGAGAAAAGGTCGCAGAAACGGGATTGTCCTACACCATCAGGAGTGTTGACTGTGTTGAAAGGGCACAGATCCATGAGATAGATCGTCTCCTGTAACGACAATTTGGCTTTGTGCAGATTCCTGTTCAGTCTATCCCGAATAGGAGGCAGGAATTTGTTTCCCCAGGCGGTCTGCGCACTGTTATCACCTATCTCATCGTTGTCCTCGAACGAGCTACATGTTCCATGTGACAGTGTGTTGTTGCTACCGGGCTCCTCGGGAATTACCAGAATGCCATCGGTGTAGTCATCTCCAGACTCTCCTCGAGAGGCATAGAAACCTTGTGTGAAGTTGTGAGACGACATGATAACTCTGTCGGATCCTGATGCCCTGATGAAAGGCTCCGTCTTTTCAGCGAGTCCGATGTATCGCTCATAAAACGCCTTTCCAGAATCAATCATCTGGTCTTGACCAAAATCGGTCAGATCCTCAGATCCGAGGTTGTATTCGTAGTCCTTGAGCCATTCGTAGCCCTTGCCATAATTGGTTACTGATTTCTGGAGGCGAGCAATGGTGGCGCTGTATGCTGTAGTCTTGCCAGCGGTTGGATATCGAGCTCCATGGCGAGACAGGGCAATTCCTATGGTCACCTCGCAATCATCCGGTGTTGACGAATCAATCTCTGATGGGACAGAGAAGAAGGAAGAATATTGTCCCCAGAGCTTGGAAATGTCATTGCAGCTTCCGTCATATTCACATCCCGATGACAGTGTGCTTGCAGATGTTAGTTTGGGGTCAAATGTGAGATGTGGGTGAGGATACTCACTTGTTGTGAACCCAAATAGCAAGAACTGTGATTAATGCAATTGTGCTGATTACCATGACAAGGTAGCTCCATCGTCGAGTCTCTCGACGCTTGTGCTCTGTATGCCAGTTCTCAAGTCGCTCTGCGTCCGCATAGCTCTCTTCGGCTTCTTCATCATTTCCAGATAGTAGCCGCCCTCTCTCAGCATCGGCATCAGATGCTTCTGAGCGATTCACTTCTGAAGGCGCGCTGTCGCGCGGAATTCGAACCATTTCTACTGATTCGGTTATCTTGACAGGGATGTTTGTAGATGTTTCGAGAGCAAATGACTCCCTGTGAGGACGATAAGGTTAAATTAGTAAAGGCTGATGCGAACAAACACGCAAGGTTTGAGGTATTGAGCTGCTGGAGGCTCTTTCTTTGATAGCCTTGTACTTTAGTCGCATTTGCTGGCTGGAAATAGTGTTGATTAAGCTGAGCTGAGTATCCCTGAATGTTGGAGGTTCAAGGACACTTCACTTCACCTCAGGTGAGGGTGGGCCACGTGCATGGTCATGAGGCTGACGAATGAGGCACCATTAGCCACATGCCGATGTCTTCAGCAGTTGTTACAGTGATTGCGCTCAGTCGTTAATCGGTGAAACGATGATATAAAATTCAGAAGAGGAATAAACCCGCACGACAATAAGAGTTCATGCGATGGTTTGGCGTCGGTGCTATTATTAGATCACACCAATACCCTAAAGGTCAATCATGAAGACGACAAATGAAGTGGAAAGTACTATGTATCGAATGGAATATGCCGCTCTAGGCGGACTAAATTGCAACTAGCTGTATCCTGCAGATCTCAAGATAACATCTCTGCTCCCATACCTCCAGCCTCTATCGTTTAAATGGACATAAATTTTAGAGGAAACCTGCCGCCCAGAAACCAGTTCTTTGATCCAAACCTTATTCCCAAATATTTTATCCCATTACCGTAGCATTCCAAATACCCAAAAGGCCTTGCTTGCCACGTAGTCTAGCTACAGGGCAGCAAGCTGTAGTACGGACGGTATCATACAAGTGTATAAGTCATAAAAACGTTGAAGAGAAAACGCGGGGTATAAGCCAGAATATCCAATCATTCCTTTACATTGCAACACCGACACTCCTCCTTTGAGGCCGGATATCATTTCTACCAAACGTTGAAGTGGCGAACCGTGAGATGAGGGGCTCATCCTGTGACACAGCAGCTGTGCTACCCACAGAGCATGTTGTCGGGACAGTACGATTCTGGTCATCCGATTCCCAAGTACTGGCCGTATCGATTGACTCTGTGCTCCGCCGATGTTCTGATGCTCCGCCCAGCGAAACTTGGTAAAATCCTTGGTTGCCCCTGATAGGACGAGGAGCGTTGGTGACCGAGTCGAAACTCATGTTACGGTTGTGCTGTGACCCGGGGAAGAGCCAGCTCGACACCCGGGAAAAAGACTTCTTCTTCCTCAGAGGAGGTCGAAGTACTAAAGGTAGAGGTGGCGGTGGGGGCATATCACCTCGCCTTGGGCGAGAAGGAGGGGTAGAAGGTGACATTTTCTCTCCAGGAGTTCGGGATCTGCGAGGTGGTGTGATGGGAGTTCTCACAGGCGTACGAGGAGACCTGATGGGTGCTGTGTGTGGCCTTTCAATGATATCGGAGTTGAGTCTCTGGGCAAAAGAAGGAGCAGCTGGGGGCAGAGCCGGAATTGACGGCATGGGTTCCAGGTCTGAAGAAGTCAGCGGGAGCGGTTCGTCCCCAGGCCCATAGATCGAGCTCATACCGGGCACGGCCCGGGCGACCGAGTAGGGAGTTGGTGGTCGACTGGGAACATAAAGACTCTGTCTCTCAATGACATCGTCAATTTGCTTCTGGAGCTTTTCAACCTCTAGCATAGCACTCGCGACTCGTTCCTTGACCTTTTCCACATCTGGTGAGCTATACGCACGAGGACGTCCCCGTGACTTGGGGGGGATCAAGGGCGGGATCTCATCTTCTCCATGAGAGGAACTAGGAGCACTCCCTATGGCTTGGCGGCGTGGAAAGTGAAATGACATAGGAGAATCTGAGAAGCTCTTCTCGTGCTCCAATGAAGGTTTCGTTTCTTCGGGTTGGCTATCTGACACATACTCAGAATAGTCTGACGAGAGGGCTGGGTTCGCAGGTCTTGGTTCAAAGTGAGGCATGATAGGAGATACACCATTGTCGGACTGATAGATGCTCAACTCGAGCGGGCGGTAAGGGCGATGAGGTAACTGTTTCGCAGGCCGAAGATTAGAGGCTCTCGATGGCGTAGGTTCAGGATAATCAAGAAATGGATCGGCGGCAGTTGATACATGGCGAAAGTCTGAAGGGGCTGAAATGAGCGGCCGGCGCGAACTTGAAGAGAGTGACCAGAATCTCCTTCTCTTTGACGAGATACTGTCTCTCGTAGACCTATCCGACATTTTACGATGCTCCGGCATTGCAACAGGCTGGGGATGGTGAATTGGTTGGTCGTATATTACTGGATAAGAACGCTTCTCATCGACTTGGCCTATCAGCAACTGGTCGTCGCTCAACCTGCCCACGGGCCACGAAATGTTCAAAGTTGAAGACGAATCCGAGGCCCAAGCATTGGCAGTGTGGGCAGAGGTAGAAGTAGACATAGACTTACTACGACGCGGCCTCCTGTCCTCTGAGGAGACCAGCGGTGCGCAGCAGAGAGATAGCCACGATGGCCAAGAGGCTGCTTCAGAGCCATGGGCACCGTGAGAACCGGCGTGTGTCATGCTGCAAAGCTCTCACGTCATACCGAGAAGGCGTTTAGAATGTTGGGTGAGAAGAGAATGGCGGAGAGAATGACGATCCGTCACTCAACGAAGTGGAAAGAAAAATGGCTGAGAGGCTGAAAGACAGATCAACGTATGGATATAAGGTGGGATATGAGCGTGTATGTACTAATGTATGCATGTATGTATGTATGTACAGTCCACTCCTTCGTGTATGTAAGCCAGCACCAGTACTAGCACATGCAGAAGAGGAATGGGATAGGACAAAAAGTGAATGAAGACGGGAAAGCTGCAGGAAGAGGACCAGGGACCCGGCAGATAAAAGAACAAGAGAAGCAAAGCAGCGGCAAGCAACTTGTAATGCAGCCCAGCCCATCTCGTGGATGACGGCCGGGCCGCGACGTTCCCATGGTAGTATACCCACACCCATAGAGGCAACAAACGACAGTATTGGCACCATGTCCCTGCTGCGAGTCTATAGTGGGATCTGGGTTAGTTTCAGGCCCCGTTACGATCGAAATTTAAAAAATTAAATAAGAAAAAAAAATGGGCGGCAGCCAAGGGAGATGCAAGACGACGTATCGAGTGGTTGACGATTGTCCAAGACGAACCCACGGTGCAGGTGATGGACCGGGGTCGGTTGTCTCGCCGGACCAGTCGGCGCTTAGAAGACGGTCCTGACGGACTCCCGATCATGTTAGCGCTCCACACCAACTCTATCAAAACACCACAGAGACACTTTGACTGGGCCACACGTAGTGCCCGAGATGGTGTCGCTGTTGCCCTTGGTTTAAGTCTAGAGAGTCGAGTCAAGTCGATGTCGTGCATTTGGTTCCACTCTATTCCACTTCCAACTCGCCCTTTGGCTGGTCATGGATCCTTCCATTGACTTCTTGGTCTGCTTGTCCTTGCCACAAAAGACCCCAGACGAGGTCTCGTGCTGCTACCGTATTGGATAGCCGCGTGAGATGACGGGGTTTGAGGCCTTTGCCTGTGTTCGAGGCTGTGTGTCGTAACGCTGCGCATTTCTCACATTCTCTCGTCGAACTGGTGTGAACTTGGGTCTTGGCGAAGGCGCCGTCAAAGCATGAGTTCCATCCATACCCAAGCTGTCATTCGGTCTGGCCTGGCATGTAACTTTGAACAAGAGACATTCTTCGTCAGACGTTGTACAGAGCGCATGTTCAAACACACAAAGGTCATAGCTCTTAGCCCTGCTCTCTACGGTAAACGCACAACAGAAGCTTGCCTCGCTTGCTGGCTCCTAGTGCAAATCCTAGCCTTGTCGATTCTGTTTGCCTTCCTGGAACTGGCATCTGACGTTGCATCCATACATCTTATTTGGAGTTGCACCGCCGGTTTGGGCAATACCCTGGTCCTGCCGGACTGATTGGTAGATGCACCCCGGAACCTGGTCTCTTCATCATCTCTCCTCCATCAAATCGGTATGCTGCACGTTTTGTTACTCTTCCAGTTTGCGACTGACAACCGCGTTTATCTGTGAGCTGTGAAATGCTAGGGCCTCTTGAAACGTGGGAGCTTCAGGAACGCCTGTCAATCTGCCCTCTCATCGAATCCGGATGCTCCTCTGGGCCAGGCTTGTTATTACTTGGCCAAAGAATTGGTCGCTACATCCCAAAACAGCCGTGAAAGATGTTTCATGGCTCCCAGAATAGTGATGAGCACTGTGATGGTCCGTATTCTGGTGTGAGCTGACGCGATACGATTCGCCTGCCTTGAAATCTTGAAATCTTGAGACAAAATGACTAAACGATGATAGCCCCGAAATTTGATATTGATATTTGGCTCAGGTAGACCAGAACGGCTGGAATGCATTTCCTGGCCCTTCAGTGGTCCCTGACGGTAAGCGGCCATACTACGTTGATAGCAATGTCGTATTGCAATTGCCTCTTCGTCTCTCAGCCGGAGAAACAATGCACAGCCCGGCTTTTGTCTCAGTGAGAGTCACCAAAACCACTCAACACCAACAAACAAGGTGGGATGCTAGGATGGCTTCATTTGTGGGGTCAAGAGAAAGTGTGCCAGGAAAGTACGGTAATTATTGTTAGGACACTAGGGCACCTCGACTCAGAGAGATAAAGGGTCAAACCGTGCAGTTGGGTCGGTGTCAAGCCTGATCGACAGCCGGACCGCTCCCTGTTGCTGCTGCAAACATCCATGGTTGTTAGCTTAGTAGGGAGTCGCGTAGTGTTGTTTGCTTTTGGGCCTTGCGAGCGAAATTCCGCTGCGCTTCCTTCCGCTGCCTTGTCTTCAGATGAAAGTGTTTACTGAGGGGTACCCCTGGCTTTGCCATTACTTGATTCTTAAAATAGCGACTCTTAAAGTTGAAGCATGGGTGGCTTCGCAACCTTGGCTTAGCTACCTTAGCTTTAGCAGGGATGCATCCAGAAGCTCGTCAAAGGGTCCCTTAGGTTGTAATCCAGCATGATGAAAAGATTTAGGCAATTCTAGCGTATGCTAGAGG